AATAAATCTAGGTCCGGAGTCGACTCCGTTTCCCCCCATTCCCAGAACCATTCCGACCGGCGAACCCATTCAATAACAGCCCCGTTCGTCCGTCACATTCTGTTCTTTCACCGGTGGTCTGATCTTGCTCTGAGCATCGTCCGTCCCAAGCCCCCCGTCGTACGCGCGTGATCCGACCCAGCCCGTCCTCGTCCACATGGCCCTCAACCTGACCCACCAGACCGGCGCTGCGGCCATCGCGGCCACCCCGGCGCCGGGCGCGCGCGCTTCGGTGTTCGCGGCGGCCTCGCCCGCCGCCGCCGCCGCCGCCGGCTCCGTGGTGGCGCCGGCGCAGGCGGCCAGCCTGAGGGTGCAGGCGCAGATGGTGGAGCCCGCGCAGCCGCAGGCGCCGGACATGTTCCAGGCCATGGCGCCCGACCAGCAGCAGCAGGGCGAGGCCGCGCACCCGGACGCGGGCGGCGAGGAAGCGCGCAAGGTGGGCGTGCCGGTGTTCGTGATGATGCCGCTGGACACGGTGCGCAAGGACGGCAGCGCGCTGAACCGGCGCAAGGCCGTGCAGGCGTCCCTGGCGGCGCTCAAGAGCGCCGGCGCGGCCGGCATCATGGTGGACGTGTGGTGGGGCATCGCCGAGAGCGAGGGCCCCGGCCAGTACAACTTCGCCGGCTACATCGAGCTCATGGAAATGGCCAAGAAGGCCGGGCTCAAGGTGCAGGCCGTCATGTCCTTCCACCAGTGCGGCGGCAACGTCGGAGACTCAGTCAAGTACGTCGTGCTCTCCTCCTCCATTAATTCCTCCTTACTAGTAGTATCTACTACGTACGTAGTATGTGTGCATGGTGGTCTCAATCTTTGCACATTCTTGTATTCATACATGATTTAGGGTCGTAGAAGCAAAGCTTGCCATGTGCTGCCACCGCCCATTGCCATTAGTTTCTAGCCACTTGCACTTACACTATCATGTGGTAGACAAACGCTATGATGGGTACAGTACAATACTACGTATAGAACTGTGTAGACGAGAGACCATTGAGGCAAACATCGTCAAGAAAAGCAACTTGTTATCTTCTTCATGGCGCTCATGGCTGGCTTCCGTTGGTGATTTGAGTACCCGGGAAATCGGGATCTCATATGAGGCAACGGGCGACTCGTGACGTAGAAGTGACCGTGGCTCGTTTCCCACGCACTTTCTCGAGCTGTAGGACGTGGACGGTCACAAATTTCCGGACCTCGTGATCTTCAAAAAATGAAACAAAACTGGCCTCAAGTCAGACGACACGTAGAGCTTGGATAACGAAAAGTACGCTGTACGTGATCCCTGCCCTGTGGACGGTGTACGTGGCCTGCCCACTCTGCACGTGATCTCTGACCACGACTATGTTTTTTATTTGATCTGAATTGTTACTCTCTAGAAATTATATTTTTCGAGAAACTTCTAATATATTCATCTTTCATCAGAATCAGGACTAGGATAATACAACGGACATCAAAAAAAAAAAAATACATCTAGTAATATCGGCGGGAAAATTACATCTAGCAATTTGTTTCCAATATAATTGATCAAATGGTTGACGTGTGTTGTGCATGGATGCAGCATACCACTTCCGAAATGGGTAACGGAGGAGATGGACAAGGACCAGGACCTGGCGTACACGGACAGGTGCGGCCGCCGGAACTACGAGTACATCTCGCTGGGCGCCGACACGCTCCCGGCGCTCAAGGGCCGCAGCCCCGTCCAGTGCTACGCCGACTTCATGCGCGCCTTCCGCGACCACATGGCGCCCTACATGGGCAACACCATCTGCGAGATCCAGGTCGGCATGGGCCCCGCCGGCGAGCTCCGCTACCCCTCCTACCCGGAGAGCAACGGCACCTGGTCCTTCCCCGGCATCGGCGAGTTCCAGTGCTACGACCGCTACATGCGCGCCAGCCTCAAGGCCGCCGCCGAGGCCGTCGGCAGGCCCGAGTGGGGCAACGCCGGCCCCGAGGACTCGGGCAGCTACAACCAGTGGCCCGAGGACACCGGCTTCTTCCGCCGCGAGGGCGGCTGGAACACCGACTACGGCCAGTTCTTCATGAGCTGGTACTCGCAGATGCTCATCGAGCACGGCGAGCGCATACTCTCCGCGTGCTCCTCCGTCTTCACGGGTACCCCCGGGGTCAAGGTCTCCGTCAAGGTGGCCGGCATCCACTGGCACTACGGCACCCGCTCCCACGCGCCCGAGCTCACCGCCGGCTACTACAACACCAGGAACCACGACGGGTACCTGCCCATCGCGCGCATGATCGGCCGCCACGGCGCCGTCCTCAACTTCACCTGCGTCGAGATGCGCAACCACGAGCAACCGCAGGACGCGCAGTGCATGCCCGAGGCGCTCGTCAGCCAGGTGGCCAACGCCGCCAAGGAGGCCGGAGTGGGCCTCGCCGGCGAGAACGCCCTGCCCAGGTACGACGAGACGGCGCACGACCAGGTGCTGGCCACCGCCGCCGAGAAGGCCGAGGAGGACCGCATGGTCGCCTTCACCTACCTCCGCATGGGCCCCGACCTCTTCCAGCCCGACAACTGGCGCCGCTTCGCCGCCTTCGTCAAGCGCATGACGGAGACCGGCGTCAGGGACGTGAGCCGCGAGCAGGTGGAGCGCGAGGCCCAGGGCGTCGCCCACGCCACCCAGGGCGTCGTCCAGGAGGCCGCCGTCGCCCTCTGCAACTAATCAACTAACTCTCGCCGACGCCGTAGAGATCTTCTTATATGGTGGTAAACTATGCATACATACATACGTACTACTATGATTTGTTGTGATCCGCGTACGTCGTGGTGTGTACCGACCGAACGAAGGTGGGATGGAAACATATGGGGATCGATTCGATCGATCGGGTGACTTGGGAGTAGTTGCCGCGTCTGAAGCTTCCATGGCATGGCGATGCCGGTCTCGGCGTCGCTAGCTCAAAGCTTGCAGGGGACTGATGTACTACTACGTACTAAGCTACCGCAGTAGCAGTGCTGCACTGTAAGATCGATACTCTGAAAATGTTGTAACAGCCTTGCTGTATCTGTTCCGCTAAAGTGAAATCAAGAACAGAGCTTGGCGAGCACTAATTTGTTGCTATCTTCTACTCTCTTCGTCTCATAATGTCAATATAAGATCATTTTGCAGGTTGTTTTGGCTTGCAAAACGATCTTATCCTCCATTCCTTCCCTGCGAACCGCTCCACCTTCCCTATGAAATATTTGGGACTGCCGTTATCGGTTAAGAGACTAAAGAGAATCCACTTCCAGCCGCTCGAAGACAAGATTGCTGCCCAACTCACTCCTTGGATTGGCATGCTCATGGCCTCTTCGGGCAGGGTGGTTCTCGTCAAATCTGTCCTCACAGCCATCGCCATATACTACATGACTGCACTTGATCTGCCAGTGGAGGTTTTGAAGAAGATTGACTCCCTTCGGCGTGCTTTCCTTTGGGCTGGCTGTGACAAGGTCACCGGTGGCAAATGCAAGATCAATTGGGAACAAGTGTGTAAATTCAAAGCTCATGGCGGACTAGGCATCCTAAATCTACAGAAATTTGCATCTGCTCTCCGTTTACGTTGGCTCTGGGCGGAATGGATGGACCCGGTGAAGCCTTGGGTGCGGTTGGGGAACCCTTGCGATAAGAGAGATAAAGACATATTTGCGTCTGCCACCAAGGTCTTAATTGGAGATGGACTTCGTGCCTCCTTTTGGGAGTCTGCTTGGCTTGATGGCATCAGGCCCAAAGACATCGCCCCAATGATTTTTGAAATTTCAAAACGAAGGGGCTGCTCGGTGAACAAGGCTTTGCAAAACAACTTCTGGGTCTCCCAAATCAACTCTCGTGGCATCTTCTCCGCTAACCAGCTCACTCAGTTCGTCAACCTTTGGGAAAAAAATTTGGTTGTTCAACTCAACCCAGATGGAGTCGACACTATCTCATGGAAGTTCACTAATGATGGTCTGTACACTGCGGCGTCGGCCTACAAAGCTCAGTTCTCTGGTCTGGTTGACACTAACATGTTACAGTGGGTTTGGAAGAATTGGGCTCCCCCCAAATGCAAATTTTTTGCCTGGTTGGTTATCAACAATAGGATTTGGACGGCCGATAGGCTCCAACGACGTGGATGGCCTAATTGTGATCGTTGTCCTCTTTGTAAGCAGGTGCAAGAATCTGCGGCGCACATCCTCTTCCGGTGCCGCTACACTGTTCGAGTTTGGGGTATAGTCAAATCTTGGCTTGGCCTGGGGGATGTGCATCCTTCGGCTTGGGTGGTGATGGATTCGGTGAAGTCTTGGTGGAACCTGATTGCATCCAACACATCGCAGTCGCGCCGGCCGATGCTCTCTCTTATGATGCTAGTCTCATGGGAAATCTGGAAAGAAAGGAATGCTCGTGTCTTCAGGGGCACCGCGGTGCCGGTGGGGGTTATTGTTGCTAAAATTAAAGATGAGTACAAGTTGTGGTGTTTCGCGGGGGCTAAGTGCTTGAGTAATGTAATGCCGCGAGAGTAATGCGTTGTAATTCGGCCTTTGGCCTTAAACCTTCTTCTTATTCAATGAAAGTGGCAAGTCTTTTGCCCCGTTTCAAAAAAAAAAACTTATATTATGAGATGAAGGGAGTACCGCTTTGGAGCGTCATCGACTGAGTGACTTAGTCTCTCATCAACCATACAATCTTCACCAATGGCCTGCTTTACCCCTCACTTCCCACTCCAAGAACTGTAAATTTATGGAATGAAAAAAGTGATTTTTGCGAAATACTCTCTCTCTCTCTCTCTCTCTCTCAAACACACACACACACAATGTAGTGCGTATAGAATTTTTCAAAGGGCCTTGCTTCGGTAGACCCCCCCCCCAAACAAAACGTAGAAGGGCAGAATTAGCATACGAAAGAAACGTATGCCCACCTCGTCATGAAAAAAAAAGTACCCACGATCTGGGCCCGCCCCCATCTTCTCGCCCGCCCATCTAGTCGCCCGCCCGCTAATCAAGGTATTTCCAGAGTTGGCGATCGCCGCCGCAGCAGATCGCCGCCGTCCGAACCCCGTGCGAGGCCACCCTCGCCGTCCCAACGTCGCCC